TTCTAAGTATACTATCATGTCATCAGCATAGAGGGATAATTTTACCTCCTCGTTGCCTATTTGGATACCTTTTATTCCCTTCTCTTGTCTTATTGCTTAAAATGAGTATTTTAAAGATTTCTTTTCATTCTTAAAAATTATCTTAAAGAAGTTTTGTTTATGTAAATTATGGATTGGCTTAAACATTCTTGTTGTACCATTTCCTTCAATATTATAAAATGGAAAAATTATTTATTAGTTTAGAAATAATAATAGACCATATATATATATTAACATAGTTAGCTTGATTTTTCTAAAAAAACCCTGTTTTGTTGTTGTTATGTGCTGTCAAGTCACCTGAAACTCATAGCAACCCTATGTACAACAGGCCTAAACTCTATTCTGTGCCAGTCTCACTTTCTTCGACACACCTACACCGATTACCCCAGTCACTGAATCAATCCATCTTATAAAGGGTCTTCCTCTCCTGTGCTGTCCCTCCACCCTCCCCAGCATGATGTCCTTGTCCAAGGACTGGTCCCTCCTTGCAACATGTCCAAAGTATGTCACATGAAGCTTCAGAATCTTTGCCTCCAAGGAGGAGCCTGGTTTCACCCTCTCTAGGATCAACCTGTTTGTTCTCTTAGCAGTCCATGGTATATTCAGTATTCTTTTCCAACACCACAGCTCAAAGGCTGTGGTACTAGGGATATTATAGCTAATGGTGGATGGATCTTGGCTGAAAGCAGAGAGTACCAGAGGAATGTCTATCTGTGTTTCATTGACTATGAAAAGGCATTTGACTGTATGGACCACAACAAACTGTGGCTAACTCTGAGAAGAATGGGAATCCCAGAACACTTGATCATGCTTATGTGAAACCTATACTTGGACCAGGAATCAGTCATTAGAACAGAGCAAGGAAACCAGCATTGCTCAAAATTGGGAAGGGTGTATGCCAAGGATGTGTCCACTCTCCATATCTTTTCAATCCATATGCAGAACAGATTATCCAGGAGACTGGGCGCTATGAGGAGAAATATGGTATCAGGACTGGAGGAAGACTTATCAACAGTCTGCATTATGTAGATGACACAACCCTGCTTGTTAAAACTGAAGAGGACCTGAAGCCCTTGCTGTAGAAGGTCAAGGACTGCAGCCTTCAATAAGGATTGAAGTTCAATATCAAGAAAACAAAGATTCTCACCACTGGGCCAATTGGCAGCATTATGATAGGTGGTGAAGAGATTGAGACTGTTAAGCTTTAGTTTGCTTGGCTCCACAATTAATATTTTTGGCAACAGCAGCCAGGAAATTAAAAGACGTATTGCACTGGGAAAGTCTGCTGTCAGAGATCTCTTCAAAGTACTGATAAGCAACCATGTCAGTCAGGAGACTAAGGTGTGCCTGATACAGGCCATGGTCTTTGCAATCACTTGTTATGCATCAGAGAGCTGGACAATGACTAGGGGTGATAGAAGGAGGTTGTTTTCCAATTAAAAAAAAATTTGGATTAGTCATATTGTTTCAGTTTTGCAAATTTTATTGTCTGGCTTAAACAGAAGACAGACTCTCACATCAGTGGGTGAATCTTTTGTTTTCAGTCAGGGGCAGTATGGTATTTGGATTGATGTTAAATTATAAAATCCAACATCATATAGATGGTGGTTGAAAATGGTAGACCCCATAGACGTTCTGGAAGGCTTTCAGGAACGCGTAGAAGACCACAGATCCCACGGAGAACAACTGATCTGTTGTTACCTGTATTATCCCATTTAGTGTCATTATCTTTAGCATCTCATTCTTATTACAGAAAAACTTCATGATCCTGGTACAGTGATGTGGAGAAGTGTCATAGTAAAATTTTTCCCCCAAGAGGGCAAAGATTATTTAATCTCGCTGTTAAATGATACTAACCTAAAACTTGGTGCATAATTATTTTGTTGAATAAAATAGTAAAATTATTTTAAAACAATCTACCAATTTAGAAAGGTTATAGCATTTTAGAATAATCAAAGCTCAAAAAAAAAAAAAAAGAATAATCAAAGCTCTTCTTTTTCAAGAAACTTCACTAGGGTAAATTATTTCTTGTTCCCAATTACAATACTCTTTCTATTTTAAAAAATCATTTTCTTCTTGTTTTGTTCTTAATCTGCTAATGATTCCTTAGAGGGCATAGATAAGAGTAAATAGAACAAGGTGTTAATAGAGCAAGGGCAACATGGGGAAGGCTATGTCCTACATCCACAAAGGGGAACTGGCCCCATCTGGTGGCCTGGTGGCAAGAAGCTGTGCTGCAATCCTGAAGGCATGCAGTTCAAGGCCACCAGCTCCTGTACTGGAGCAGGATGGGCAGTCTTCTCCCGTGTAATTAACTGCCTCTGAAAACCCGCTGGAGGGTCAGTTATGGGTCAGTTCTCACTCGATGGTACACAGCAACAACAAAAAATATACCATTCATATACCATATCTATTCAACTGCTGGTGGACATTTAGGATTTTTCTACCTTGAAAGATTTGTTTTTAACGTAACCATTGTGCCATTATTGCACTCAACAAATTAATAGTCTACATCCTTCTTTTTACTAAACAGGGACCACAACTTCCAGCAGCTGCAAGGGATGCTCTCAGCCAGGTGCCAACTAAACCATGCTCCTCTTCTGAAAGTCTTGTGTAGGCTCTGGGCCACGATGGGGAAACTGCAAAGCAAACTCAAACAAAGTTCTTTTAAGTACAGGTACAGTAACCCTACACTTGAGTCCCAAGCTTATCAGGCCTCACCAAAACTGCCCACCAAAGAAAGAAAAGACCCAGATTGTGTGTCCCTGACCTTCCCTACACAGTCAGTTTGATCCATTTATCTCAATCACTAACTCATTAATTGCTTTGTTGTTGGTCCCAAACTCATGAAAACCTTCCATCAGTTTCCCAAAGCTGTAAATCTTCAAGAGAGGAGACTACATTTCTTCCTCTGGAGTGGCTACTGATAGATCCAAATCACAGGAAAGTTGCCACTTATGGATTAGCAGTGCAGCTCACTCTGCACTAGGCCACTAGAGCTCCTTGTTGATCCAAGCAGTCTGTTCTATAGCTGACTCGGGAAGGGGCCCTGCATATCTTTGGGAGTCATTTCTGGTGGGAGTAAACTCTTACCACCTGCCATATTCTCCTTTACTAGAGTCCAAACTTGTATTTGTTCCTGAGCATTTTTCGACTAATCCCATTAGTAATTGGTAAATTTTCTATTTGTCCGTTTGAACTTGCTGCCTTAGCTCATGTGTTTCCTCCTCTTGCTCTATTATCCACGCTCTCCCTACCTTCAGGTCTTCCCTCACTTTTCATCTTCTCTTTAGTAGGCCTGATGGAGTTCTAGAAGAGAGGATTCAGACTAAAACAGTTCAAGAGTATAGCCCAGCCCATGTGGATGCTGTCTCTGCTGTTGCTGCCCTCAGCCCAGAACTTTGTGTCTCAGGAGGAAAAGATAAGGTGAGATTTGAAGTGGGAACCAATTTATAATGAGGAATGGAAGCTATTTTGTTGGGAATTCCAGGTAATACGTTTCTGGCAGCAGTATTAATTAGTAAAAGAATGTGACCTTTAGAATTAGAAGGGGGTCTTAATCCCTAATCTGCCACTCCTATTATTTGGGAAAGGTTTTTTATTTTCTTTTTCCTGCCAGCAGTCTCCTTTTCTGTTATATGGAGATAAGAATCTTTATAGGACAGTTGTCAATAGAACTCTTGCCCTTAGCACTATGTTAGATCCCCTACATGTTTTTTACAAATGGCAATATTTTGCAATAATAAGCATTACTAGAATGAATAACCTTGTGCACATTTCTATTCTTTTGTGGGAAATATGACTTTAGGATAAATTCTGAGAAATGAGATTTCAGAATCAAACGATAAAGTACATATGTAATTTTGTTAGCTAATTGCCAAATTGTGGCATTCTGGTGGCCCTAGCGGGTAGCAAGCTGCTCACCCAAAGGTGTCACCCCTTAGGAGCTTCGAATTGACCAGCTGCCCCTTGGAAAGCTGCCCCTTGGAAGAAAGATTAACAAGCTCCTTCCATGTGATCTGCAGCTTCTGAAAACCTGCTGGAGAGTCAGCTTTACGTCTATTATGACTCAATGGCACGTACAAACAATAACAACATTGTCATGACCACCTCCCTTTAACACCTTCCCGTATTTTTTGTTGTCATCAAGAGGTATCCCCTCACTTTTAGAATCCTGAAATATCTGTATTGGAGGGCATTATATAATGTGCTGAAATATCTGTATTGGGGGGCATTGTGCCCTCCGTTCTGTCTTTTGTCCTCCCTGCCACCGTCACTTTGCATCTGGTTTCTTTCTTTCTTTCTCTCTCTCACATTTGTATCTGTCATGGTATTTACAGCGAGGATGTTGGTAGTAGCACAAGCACTGATTCTTATTCCCTCACTCACTTGCTGCCATAGAGTCTATTCCAACTCTCAGCAACACTGCTTCAGTTTTCTATAAATCACAACTGGTGCTAATGGTGGATATGAACTCATCTTTCTCTTGGAGCTGATAGTAGGTTGGAACCACCAAAGCTGTACTGAGTGGATTCTGACTCAGTGACTTGGAAACCAGTTCTGCTCTATAGAGTTGCTATGAGTTGGAATCAACTCAATGGCAGTGGGAGGCCAGAGCAGTCTTTTTAAAATTCCATGTAGTGGAAGAAGTACTTACAGTAAAAAAAAAAATTGAAAAATAATTGTACCTCTAACTTTAAGCAAAAGTGTATTCCTGAAGAAAAGCTAATAAATTGAAAGTGTGAACAGTTAAATCTCTCTAGCTTTTGGAAATATGGATGAGATTTTTAAATTTGAAAAATAAGCATCATATTACAGGAAAAAAGAAAATTCAATCCAATAAAGAACTCTTGCGTCGTCTCTGCAGCTAGAACTTCAATCTGTATTCTCAGGAGGAACAAAAAGAAACTCAAAGTAAGGGGGCGGGCAGGAGGAGGAACAGAATTATAAAACCCTAACATTTGAAGCTAGTCCCTGGGCAGAGGAAGTGCTAATTACAAGGGAAAACTGAAAGTGAGAATAAAGTAAAAGCTTGTCATCCTTGATAGGTAAAACAGAAATGTTTTCATGACTTTCTGCAGATGGTTGTAGTCTATAACTGGAAAACTGGAAATGTGGTGAAAAAGTTCAAAGGACATGAACGAGAAGTCACTAAGGTAATTGTCTAACAATTGTTATTATGGGAGGACTTTGGAACCAGTAAAGGAATATTTCATAGCTCTAGTTATTAGAAGTCAAAGTCCATTCTTAAAGAAAAAATATGAAAACTTCATATGGTATTGTCAAGCCCCACTCTTGGAAAAGAAAAGCAAATCATTCACTTAGCTATTTACACAGGTAGACCCTGCCACTTTTTTTTTCTTTATAACTCCAAACAGGTTAGTAGTAAGTAAATAGAGAACAGCTAAATATCTGGCTTGTGAACCTATTCTAACTTAAAAAGGAACATGTATTGAAGGCTGCTATGTATAAAAAAATATTCATAAAAAAATTATATTAGGAACCACTTATTCAGGTTGTGGGGGGTAAGTTAAAATGAAATCTGTTAAGTAATATTACATAGTAGTGTAAACAAAAACTATAGAGACTACTAACTTATTTAACTCCCCTTTCTGAAATCCACTCAAATGAACAAAAAGTTAAGATGCAAGCTCCATCAGTGAAACCAAGCACCAGCCACATCTTGTATCACAGAATATGATAACACACTTGCCAGGTCAATTGCCAGCTTGCTTTTGAATCAGTCTGAGAGAACACCAGGCTCCAAATGCACAGAACCAGGCCGTGTTTCGTTTGGTTTGTGCACAGGGTGGCTATGAGTCAGCCCCAGGTTTCTGTGCTGTAACCCTTGTGAAATGAATCACTACAGATTAATGAATAAATACAAATAAGCTCATGCTTATCTTGCTTGCTGAGGACTGCCCCATCTCTGTTAAAGACTGTAAATTTGAAAAGTGGTTTTGATTCTGTAGGTACTGTTGGATTGGGAGAGAGATAGATGGTAGCCATTCCTAAAAGCAGAATCTTTGATGTGATGGGAAAAAAAAGTGAAGTTATTCTATAATTTGTAAGGAAGCACAAGTGGACCTGAGCTTATCTTGTTGGAGGCAAGGGCTTTGAAGCTCCTTCTCACATACTTTGGGCCATGGACAGGAGGGACTGGTCCTTGGAGAAGGACCTCATGTTCGGAAATGTGGAAGGGCAGCGCAGGAGAGAAAGACCCCGGATGAGATGGATTGACACAGTAACTGGGGCAATGGGGGTTGATGTGTCGGAATCAGTGAGACTGGCGCAGGACAGGGCAGGCTTCAGAGCTGTTGTACGTAGGGTCACTATGAGTTGCAAATGACTCAACAGCACATAACAACAACACAACACTGAAGAAAGAGAAATCTCATGCCACAAGAATATCGTTTAGAAGTAGAAATTCAGAATAGACAGCCTTCCTCCAGGTAGGAGACAAAGTTCACCCAGAGGCAGCACCGTGATTTGGACTCCTAGTCTCCTAAACTGAGCAAATCAATTTCTGTGTGGCAAAATCACCCATGTGTTGTATTTCTGTTATGAGAACACTAGTTAACTAAAGCAACAGGTCTCACAAAAGTCCTTCATGTGAAAAGAGGAGAAATAAAGGTATAGTCTGGGTACCTACAAAACAAGCTTGCTGTTGCTGCTGTGTACTGTTGAGATGAAACTGATCCATAGTGGACCCTCCAGCAGGTTTTCAGAGGCAGATTTCAAGAGGAGATTGCCCATCCTTCTCCTGTGGAGCAGCTGGTGGCCTTGAACCACATGCCTTCAGGATTGCAGCACAGCTTCTTGCCACTTGGCTACCAAAGATAGTATTCCAAAATTGAGCCTGCAGCCAGCTCACTGATACATCTGCTACCTCTAAAAACTGAAGTACTAAATAGAAATAGAAATACTCAACCATCAGTATATCACTTGACAACATGTAATTCAAGTTATAATAGACCCTCAGATGAAAGGAAAAAGAATGAATAATTATTTGGTTTTTATATGTTGTTGTTAGTTGCTGGCCAGTCAACACTGACTCAGAGAAAGTCCTCACAGCTAAACCAGTAGGCACTATCATGATAAATGGAGAAGAGATTGAAAGTCACAAATATTTCATTTTAATTGGATCCACAATCAACACTCATGGAAGTCAGGAAATAAAAAGTTTCATCACACTGGGCAAATCTGCTGTCAAGAACTGCTTTAAGGGAAATGGATGTGCAGGGGGAGGCGGGGTTAAGGATTGTGTTGACAATTTGATGCGGGGGTGAAGAAAATGGAAAGAATTTGTTTGAATTTGTGTTAGAGTTTTGTAAATAAACTAGTGGTGGGGGGAGCAAGCAAACAAAAAGACATTAAAAAAAAAATCTAAAAAAAAGAGAACCTCTTTAAAGTGCAAAAGAACAAGGATGTCATGCGACTGACCTAAGCCATGGGTTCTTAGTTGCTTCATATGCTTGTGAACGTTGGACAATGAACAGGGAAGTCTGAAGACAGATTGATACCTTTTATTTTACTTTATTGTTAAATCACAGAAATTTCAGAACAAAACTCATTAAGTCCATGCACTAGTAACAGCACATTTTCCAGGCTTGGCTTGCTATTGCCTAGCAATGAGAAGTGGAGCAGGCTCTCCTATTGACACTGGCCAAGGATCCGGGGTCACCCATTCCCACCCCAGCAGAGCCCTTGGTCTGTCTTCTTACCAGGATACCAGAGACTTAAGACCTCTTCATCTAAGTGTATTTGCAATGGGAAGTCTAAAAGCATCTATGCGTGGATTAGGCGAGGTTTCCCAGAGTGACAGAGGCCCATGACTGCGAGCAGACAAGAAGCAGGCATGAGACAGCAGCACTGTCATACTCAGAAGCCAGGCCCACATGACTGCCACATGGAGTGAGCAGGTGACGTTCAGGCAGTGTCCTCCTTCCCACCTGGCCCACATAACCCCAAACAAGGCATTACAAGGAGGAGACACAAGAAAGTTCAATCAGGGACAGCGAAACCCTTGGTGCAACCCACATCCCCTAAGTTAAGGGCAACTTCTCTCAAATTCTCTGAATTGTGAAGTTGGTTAAAAGTATTGAAGCAGTAGCAAAGTTCAATAGAGCAGCAAACAACAAATGGTGAGATTGTGGAGAAATTGGAACCCTTATTCACTGTTGGTGGGAGTGTAAAATGATATAACCACTCTGGAAGATGGTGCTTTCTCAAAAAGTTGGAAACAGAAATACCATTTGGCCCAGCAATTGTAATACTGGGAATATACCCTAAAGAAATCAGAACTGCCACCCGAACAGATATATGCACACCCATGTTTATTGCTGCATTGTTCACAACAAGCAAAGAGATGAAAGCCACTCAAATGCCCATCAACAAATGAATGGAAAGAGAAGCTATGGTATGATCACATAATGGAATACCACAAAGCACTGAAGAACAAGGAACTAAAAAATATTATAGAAAATGGGTGACCCTGGAGGACATTATGCTAGGTGAAATATCTCAGTCACAAAAGGACAAATACTGCATAATGCTACTGTTATAAAACAGGACTGACATGGGGGTTGGAGAGAAATTAAGAAAAGAGGGAATAAATAATGAACACTGTATTTAAATAGATGAGGGAAAGAAATGCCTAAAAGAAATATATGATTAGGTACTATTTGCATGACAACAGTCCAGAATAAGAGGTGCATAGAAGAGTGGACTGGGGGGTGAGGGGGAGGGAGGAAATTGTGAACAATAAAAGAATCTTTTCAAGAGAAAAGTGAACTGGGGAGGGTTAGGGAGGAAAATGCAACAATGAATGAATGGAAATCCAAGTTTTATGTAAACTTTTTTTAAAAAAAATTTATTATTTTTTGTGCATATACCATCAAATCAGATCTGACTGGTACAGGAGGAAATTGTCCCTCCTTCTGCAGCAGAGCATCTGGTGGATTCGAACCGTGCACCTCTGGGATTGCAGTGCAGCTTCTTGCCCGTAGGCTACCAAAGCTCCCTTATAAACTTTTGTTAAAATATCAATAAATTTTTTTTAAAAAGTATTGAATATACCACAGACAGCAAAAAACCCCCAATGATTTGTAAGTTTTCACTCCCCCAAAAAGTATATATATGAAGTATGTATGTGTATGGATGTGTGTTGACTATGTGTAGATTTGGCAGATGATATTTCTACATTTCTTATTAGTGTATTTGGTAAATATATCCACATATATAGCAGACTCAACAGGGGGTAACACTATGTAAGCTTCTTAATTATAGCTGGACAACCTGGGGGGATGAGCTACTGGTTCTGGAGCCTTGGAACTTGTAAAACGTCGAGACATTGTCAATAGAGTCTCCAATGACAAGGTTCTAACATGTCTCTATTTTGTGAACAGTGACTGTGATCTTAAAAGTTTACAGGCAACCTGTTGGCCTCTCCATCTCCAAAACAGAGAAGGGGGAGCAAAGCAAATGCATATAAAAACAGTCCAAAGGATAATAAACCATATCAACCTCAACTTCCGTAACCCTGAGACCAGAAGAATTAAATGATACCTATCTACCCCCAATGACAACTCTAAAAGCTATCAGAAGATTTTGAAAAATGTGGAACAAAACTAAAAAAAAAAACACAAAACAAACAAACAAACAAAAAACCATAAAAATGACCAGATTCATTAGTCCAATAAAGATTGACAGAACCCTCAATATCATGACCATTGGTCACTCTTTGAACCGAAAACAAAACTCACTAGAAGTTTTTAGTCAAACAATAGATAAGACTATAAAGAGAACAGTGTCAGGGAGCTCTGGTGGCCTAGTAACAAGAAACGGTACTGCAGTCCTGAAGGTGCATGGTTCAAATCCACCAGATGCTCTGCTGGAGAAGGAGGGGCTCTCTCTTCCTGTGCCAACCAAACAAATAAAAAAAAGAGAACAGTGTCATCAGAGAGACATTCACTCCTTAAAATAACCAACCATCTCAGGTTAAAAGAGCAGCGTTGGAGGGTGCTCCAGTAGCCTAGGGGCAAGAAGCTGCACTGCAGAGGGGCGTGGTTCGAATCCACCAGATGCTTTGCTGCAGAAGGAGGGACAATCTCTTCCTGTACTAATCAGATCCAATTTGATGGTACACACACACAACATAATAAAATAAAAAAGAGCAGCATTGGCTTAAGGATAGAACCTAGAAAGCTGGAAGCAGTAGAATAAAAGGATTGATGGAAATGAAAATTACAGGGAGGAAGTAAGTAGGCAAAGTGTTTATTATATTGTGGGCTTTATAATTAATGTTATTAAGATAAAATGCGTATAAATGGAATTGAATGGAAAACAAATTTGTCACCTTTAACTCAAATCACAGTACAACTGGATTTTAGACAGAAATAAAGGAAAAAAGGAGACCTTTAAAAGTAAAACTGAAGGAATACACAGTCACTGTACCAAAATACCAAAATAATTTGGTTAGTGCTCGATTTTATTATGTAAGATATTATAATTAATCTAACACAGTATGCAGAACAGATCATCCGGGAGGCTGGGCTCTATGAGGAGAAATGCGGCATCAGGATTGGTGGAAGATCTATCAACAATCTGCATTATGCAGATGACACAACCCTGCCTGCTGAAACTGAAGAGGACCTGAAGCGTTTGCTGCTGAGGGTCAAGGACTGCAGCCATTGATATGGGTTGAGGCTCAATGTCAAGAAGACAAAGATTTTCACCACTGGACCAACTGGCAGCATCAGGATGGATGGTGAAGAGATTGAAATTGTTCCCAGCTTTAGTCTGCTTGGCAGCCAGGAAATTAAAAGACGTATTGCGATGGGAAAGTCTACAGTTAGGGACCTCTCTAAAGTACTGAAGAGCAATGGTGTGTCTCTGGAGACTAAGGTGCATCTGGTACAGGTCATGTTCTTTGCAATCACTTGTTACACATCAGAGAGCTGGACAATGATCAAGGAGGATAGAAGGAGAATTGATGCTTTTGAGCTTTGGTGTTGGAGAATAGTGCTGAAGGTACCATGGACTGCTAAGAAAACAGATTCATCCCAGAGAGGGTTAAACTGGGCTGTTCCTTGGAGGCAAGGATTCTGAAACTTCATCTGACATACTTTGGTCATGTTGTAAGGAGAGAGTGGTCCTTGGAGAAGGACATCATGCTTGGGAGGGTGGAGGGCAGGTGCAGGAGGGGAATGCTCTCTGGGAGGTGGATTGATTCCGTGACTGGGGCAATCGGGATGAGTGTGTTGGAGACAATGAGATTGGCGCAGGACAGAGCAGAGCTTAGAGTTTAGGGTCGCTATGAGTCGCAAGCAACTCATTGACACATAACAACAACAACAATAACACAGTATGTGAAATTACTTTGTAACACTTACCAATTTGAGTTGTGATGATAATAAAGTACCAAAAGTGAGAGGGAAGGGGAAGTGGTTACACAAAGAGAAAATTCTGTGGACAATTAGAGGGGAAAGATTCCAGTGGAAGTGAGGTGATCTGAGGAGGCTTTAGGAAGAGGTTCAATTTTAGCCGTATCCTGAAGCTGTCATTGAGTCTGTTCTAGCTCATGCAGGGTCCTTATATGAAGAATTTAATTACTCCATAGAATTTTTAAACTAGTGACCTTTTGAAAGCATATCACCAGACCTGCTTTCTGAGGAGTCTCTGGGTGGCACTACCCACTTTTCGATTAGTAGCCCAGCACTTTACATTAGCACCATCTTACTTCTAAGAGCAGGGAGGAGTTCTGGTATGTGAAGGGGAAAGAGTACCTTAACTTTGAGATGAGTGGAAATTGAAACCGAACTGGCCTTGTTATCTTTTCAAATTTAGGTACTATTCATAAAAACTGTGCAAGAGAGTTTTTCTACAAATCATCTTTTTCTGTTTTAAAGTTCAATCAAGTAAGCTTAACAAAGCTATTTCTTTGGATTTTCTTCTGGAGCAGGTAGCCTGTATTCCCAAATCAAACCAGCTCTTCAGCGCCTCTCGTGACAGGATGGTCATGATGTGGGACTTACAGGGTTCACAACCAAGACAGCAGCTCTCAGGCCATGCCATGGTGGTCACTGGTTTGGCTGTGAGCCCAGGTAAGGTAAACCAAATCTCTTCCCAGCTTCTTTGTTCTTTCTGGAAAACCCTAAATCATCTCCATCTCACAAACTATTTTCTCCCCATTGTCTCCAAAGACTCCACACAGCTGTGCACTGGTTCTCGGGACAACACCCTGCTTCTGTGGGATGTGGAAACTGGACAGTGTGTAGAGAGAGCTTCTGTTTCCAGAAACCTGGTATGAACTCAGACTTGGTACAGAACAGGACTACAGCTGGAGGGAGCATGGGTTGGGGAAAGAACCTGAGAGAAAGATCAAGATACCAGAAATCAGGCAGTAGAAGCTTGAGTTCTAATTCCTACTAACCCCAGACTCTGTAGGACAGTAGCCTGGGGCTATTGGGTCAGATAGTCCCTTTAAGTCTTCTGCTCCAGAGAACAATTCTACTAGTTTATACTGGATTTTACAAAGGCCCTCTGTTGGCCTAGTGGTAAGGAGTTGAGCTGCCAGCCTGAAGGCTCCAAGGGAGAAAGCTGGGTAATCTTCTGCAATTTGCAGCCTCTGAAACCCCATTGGTGTGTCAGTTATGAGCTGTTTCCAACTCAGTGGCACATAACAACATTTCATTTGTTAGGAGCCCTGGTGACACAGTGGATTAAGTATTGGACTGCTAATCAACAGATCGACAATTTGAACCCACTGCTGCTCTTTGGGAGAAAGTTGAGGCAGTCTGCTTCCATTTAAGCACCACCTTGGATTCCAGAGGGCGCAGTTTTACTGGGCGAATAGGGTCACTAGGAGTTAGAATCAACTCTAAAGCAGTGAGTTTAGATTTGATTTTTCATTTGTTCTTTCAAAATACTGTTACTGCTTCCCCCCACCCCCCACCCCACCTCCGTGAGCCAGACACTGCTAGGAGCAGGGTTCGCAACCTAAAACAGAGTCCCTGGCTCACAGTGTGCTTGTTTTGTGTTCTGTACATGAAGTATTGTGCAGAGAAATCAGCATTTTGCTTTTATGTTCTGTTTATAAAGAGCAGTAACATTCTAGTCATGGGATGATACATACACTACAAAGGCTTTAGGGTCAAAAGTATCTGGGTTCAAAAGTTACTTAAAGAAAGGCTCAGAGAGTCAGTATCTTCATAAGGGTCTTCAGAGAAGAATGTGAAACAATGTTGGGAAACATCTTTATGCCTGACTCTAGGGAGCTCTGGTGTCCTAGTGGTAAGAGGCTGCACTGCAATCCCAGAGGCACACATTTGGAATACACTTAAGAAGGAAGGGCAGTCTCCTCAAAATGTGATTTCCTGCCTCTAAAAACCCTCTGGAGGTCAGCTATGAGTCAGTTCTGACTCGATGACACATAACAACAACACCACCACCACGGTAGATATTCCTTTAGTAGTTGTCAAACTTGAGTTATATGAATCTTTTCTAACTTTAAAAGACATTAACAGCTATCAAATATGCTTATCCCCATGCCCTCCATATTTGTGGAAGTTGTAAGGAAAAATTCCGTCACCTTGTGTTGCTTTTGAAAATTGTTTCATGCTTTGCCCAGCAGAGGATTGCAGGCACAATGTCGACCTAACAGATGAGACCTTAGCCATTTCAGTGGTCTCACCTCGGAGAAGCACTCTATTGAGCACAAGGCTAGCAGGTCTCTGTCACATGGCCAGGCCTGAATTCAGTGGGACTAAGGGAGACTGACAGGCTTTCCCAATGCAATTTGTCTTGATTTCCTGGCTGCTGGTACCAAGAGTGTTGATTGTGGAGCCAAGCAAACTGAAGCTGTTAATAATCTCAATCTCTTCACTGTCTGTCATGATGCTGCCAATCAGCCCAGTGGTGAAAATCTTGATTTTCTTGATATTGAACTTTAATCCATATTGGAGACTGCAGTCCTTGACCTTCTGCAGCAAGCGCTTCAGGTCCTCTTCCGTTTCAGCAAGCAGAGTTGTGTCATCTGCATAATGCAGATTGTTGATGAGTCTTCCTCCAGTCCTGATACCACCTTCCTCCTCATAGAGCCCAGCCTCCCGGATGATCTGTTTGGCAGATTGAAAAGGTATGGAGGTAGGACACATCCCTGGTGTACACCATTCTTGATTTTGGACCATGCAGTGTTTCCTTGCTCTGTCTGACAACTGCCTCCTGGTCCAAGTATAACTTTTGCATAAACAGAAGCACAACCAAGTCAGGGACCTCTCCAGATATCAGGAATGATATTAGGTGGAGACTAAGGTATGCCTGATCCCAGCCATAATCTTCACAATTGCTTGCTATGCATCAAAAAGCTGGATAAATGACTATGGATGATAGAAAGAGAATTGATGCCTTTGAGCTGTGGTGCTGGAGAAGAGTATTGAATGGACTGCTAGGAGGACAAATAGGTTCATCCTGGAGAGGGTGAGATGAGGCTGCTCCTTGAAGGCAAGGATTCTGAGGCTTCATCTGACATATTTTAGATATGTTGCAAGGAGGGACCAGTCCTTGGAGAGGGACATCATGCTTGGTAGGGTAGAGGGACAGCACAAGATATGATGATCCTCAATGAGATGGACTGACTCAGTAGCTGAGGTGGGTGTGTTGGAGACAATGAGGTTGGCACAAGATAGATCAGGATAGACCCTATGTTGTACATTGGGTCACTATGAGTTGCAAGCGACTCGACAGCACATGACAGCAATAACAAGTGGGCTGTGTGTATGTGGGCATTCACAATTGATCCAGCTACTGATAACCCTGGAGATGGAAAACATGACTGGTGAGAATCTGCAAAACATAAACTCCTCTGAAGTCAGATTTACTAGTTCAGCATCCTTGAGGTGTTGAGATGCTATTTGGAACAGTTTATAAGAATTACAGTAGAGCAATAATGTCAAGTTAGTTTGGACTCATAGCAACCCTCCATCAGGTTTCTGAGGCTGTAAATATTTATGAGAAAAGAGATTCTCATTCTCCTCTGGAGCATCTAGTGGATTCTAACTACACAGCCTGACACATAATGCACTACGCCACTGGGGCTCCATAACTTGATATGAGGGCCTTTTGAAAAAGCTTGTTTCTTCTAGGTCACTCACCTGTGCTGGGTCCCCAGAGAACCATATATCCTACAGACCTCTGAGGACAAAACCATCAGGTAGGCTTACTGGGCAGTAGTGCCAATGTTTCTAGTGATCTGCTTACAAGCACCCATGTTTAAAAACTCCATTCTCAATACAGGGCCCTTCACAGAGCCTTACTGAGTCTCTACCTATTTTTTGATGCAGGGGACTTTTCTATTCAGCCCCAGGAATCATCTGGGAAGAAGTTGAGAGCCTAGAGGTTAGGGAAAAGCCCCTGTTCTAGTGATTTCACAGCCCCTTATTTCTCTAGTCCCACTGTGTGGCTATGTTCTGATTAACCTCAGGATTCATAATGGGCCTGTTTAACCCTTTCAAGCTGCCTGATTCTGCTTGCCTTCCCTGCTCAGCTGTTGCTGCTTTGGTTTAAATCATTCAGCTCTCCTTCCCTGGGAGTAGGATTAGAATCCATTTTGGAAACAGCAGAGTAAAGTAAATATGCTCAGTCTAGGAATTTTAGAATTAGAAGAGCTTGATTTAGAAAGTGATGGGCATTAAAAAAATAAGATAAAACGAGTTAGAGAAATAAAACACTTTCCAATGAGCCCCCTAGCAAAAGTTGTCCTAAGCCTGTAAATCTTTTGTATCTGATTATAGAAAGATGAATGCTCCTCTGTGTCTCTCTCTCTATATTTTTACATCTTTTTAAAAGCAGTGTCCCAGGGGACCAAATTAACAAATTAACCTGGACAATTAAGATCCTTGATCTATATTCCTATTACCTAGATCTCAAAATAGAAAGAACTCGGATGTCATTTAGATCTGTTATTTCCTACCAGCTTTGTGTCTCATATTAATTTGGTTCATGTTGCTGTTTTTAGGTAAATCATGATATTCCATTCTGACTGGCCTAAGCAGTAAAGAGCAAAGACTATTGTGCTAGTGTGTTGCCTATTCAAAACATTTCCTGCAGACTCATTTCCTGCTGTCTTTTCTTTCAGATTATGGGACAGTCGGGGCCTGCATGTAGCTCATATGTTTCCTGCAAAACAACATATTCAGACCTACTGTGATGTCAGTGAGGATGGACACATGTTTCTCTCCTGTAGCAACGGCTTTGGAGGGGAAGGCTGTGAAGCTACGGTAAGAGACTGTGTAGGAACCAGCTAATAAACTCACAGTGTCAAGTTGGTTCCCACTCATAGCTGACCCCCCGGTGGGTTTTTTTAGGCTATAAATTGGGTAGAAAGAAACTACCTAACCTTCTCCCTTAAAGCCACTGGTGGATTTCAACCACTGCAAAAACACAGTCTTGGGGTTAAAAGCACAATTCTATACAGATCTGTTTGAACAGATCTGTTTGAAAATTAGTAAATTACTTATTCTGGCTTCTTGTCACCTACCAGAGCAGTTTCTCCTAATGACTCAGGCTTATTCCAAGTGAATCCTGTAAATTTTCCTTTGCATTCCATATTGGCTCTTTTAGAGAAATATCCATTATCCCAGGTCTCTCTGAGTTGTTAGTGGGGAAAGTCATAAGAGTCAAGATAAGAACAACTGGCCTGCAGCGGCCCTCACTCCCTGCAAAGCCAAGAAGAGTACTATCCCCACTGTACATGTATTCAAAGTACATATAGAGACAGTAAAGGAAGTTCAAACTCTTTAGGATGTTTTGAAGCTTCAGTGCTAATCGAGGGTTTACCCCACCCCTTACTCATATACTTATCTTGCATTAAATTTTGAGGAAATTGTCTAGCCTCCTTTAAAGTACCTTAGATTTTCTCCCTCCTTAGATTCTTAACAGTACAATTTTAGTTACATATTCAAATAGAATAATTATAGCTTCAATTTATTGCACATTTATTATATGGCAGAACTGGACTAAGTACTTTACTTGGATTATCTCATTTAATACTTAAATACAGCCCTTTGATTTAATTATACACTAATTCCCACTTTATAGATGAGGTAACACAGAGAAGCTTGGTGGATTAAAAATTCTTACCTAAGACCAAAACCCTGGTAAGTAATTGTGGTGTTAGCCTAAAAGTTGGCTTTTTTCAGCCATTACAGATAGGCTTCTCTGATTTCCAGCTACCTTAACTGCAGGCACGTAGTCTTGCAAATCAGTATGGTCTTGCACATCACCAAAAGCTGTGAAACTAGGGTAAGAGAAAGAGTGCTTCCCTCACTGGGTGGCAAGACTTACAGCAAGCAAGATTTGTGGTGGCAGGACTTGAGGGAGACTGGAGCAGAGCCTATTGGTCATGGTATTGGAGTGACTGTGATATTGCTGTGGAGAAACGGTGGCAAGGTGTCAGCAGAGGATCCCTGAGATAACAGCTATAGTCTTCTTGCCAGATGCTTGAAGGAGAAACTGACTTATAACTTGCTGGATGCTTGTTTGCTTAAAGGCAAACCTTGCTGGTTGACTTGGATTTGACTGCTGAACTGAAACTAGAGCTTGGACTAATTGAGGAATTGTTCCTTGGAACTTGGGCTAAAACTTGGATTTGCATTGTGAGATATTCTTTGCTTCCCCAACTCTCCAATTTCTTTCCCTACTAAAACCCCAGTGTTGGTACCACAACTATGAGTCAGCAACGAATAAATGAACCTCTTGCTGCTGATGGGGCACGACAGGCACCATGCGGCTGGGCTACAGGCTCTTTATTTGATTTCTACTCTGGGTCAGTGAGGGGCTGTGTTATTCTCACTCCCTCTGCCTCATGGCCCTGTGCCTTCATGGCCTGTTTTCCACTCTTTAGACAGTAATAGATCAAGTTGAGTCCCCAGGCTACTGATGTTACTTCTTCAGGATAAGCATCTCCATTTCCTTGGATGATGTAGTTTTTTGTGACTTTATAATTTCTTATTCACAAGTCAGTTTGCTCTTCTTCCCTGAATTTTAAGGTGTGGTCTGATCCATATCAATGAGAATGGAACTGACAGGGCTCTCTTTTCTCTTGTAAATACTGGTCTTCCTGTAACAGTGTTCAGCATCCAAGACAATAAATCACAGTGTTTACACTTGAGTAGACTTATGATAAAGTGCTCCCAATTATTAGCTTCCAGCAAGCGAATGATTACTGGCTGTGCAGTGGATAGGGAGTTGTGCTGCTAACTGAAAGGCAGCACCTCTTCGGTAGTTCAAATCCACCAGCCACTCTGTAGAGTAAAAATGGGCAGTCTCTTCCCATGTGACTTGCAGCCTTCTGAAAACCCACTAAAAGGTCAGCAAAGAGTCGATTCTGACTTGTTGACAATGAAAGAGAGACTAAACTGTCATGAACACAGAAAACCCATTTCTTCCTCTCCCCACTATAAAACTTACTTTCACTTCCCTAGCCATGAGGAGGGGAGCACTTCTTGTCACATCCTTATCCAGGGCTAGTGGGGTAAGTTGATACTTATTAGTAGGTTGAAGATGAGATACAGTTTGAGGAATAGATAAGTGGAGGGAATGATGACTCATGAGAAGACAGAGATGGATGTTAATGAAAAGTTATCTACTGAAGATCATCCAAAAACGATTAGAACAGCACATCAACAGAGAACTGCCGGAAGTCCAGGCTGGGTTTAGAAGGGGTCGTGGTACTAGGGATATTGTTGCTGATGTTAGATGGATCTTGGCTGAAAGCAGAGAATACCAGAAGAATGTCTATCTGTGTTTCATTGATTATGCAAAGGCATTTGACTGTGTGGATCATAACAAACTGTGGCTGACTCTGAGAAGAATGGGAATCCCAGAACATTTAATTGTGCTAATGCGAAACCTGTACTTGGATCAAGAGGCAGTAGTCAGAACAGAGCAGGGCAACACTGCATGGTTCAAAATTGGGAAGGGTGTACGCCAGGGATGCATCCTGTCTCCATACCTTTTCAACATGTATGCAGAGAAGATTATCCGAGAAGCTGGGCTCTATGAGGAGAATCGTGGCATCAGGATTGGTGGAAGATCTATTAACAATCTGCGTTATGCAGATGACACAACCCTGCTTGCTGAAACTGAGGAGGACCTCATGCACTTGCTGCGAAGGGTCAAGGACTGCAGCCTTCAGTATGGACAAAGGCTCAATGTCAAGAAGACAAAGATTCTCGCCACTGGACCAATTGGCAGCGTCAGGATGGATGACGAAGAGATTGACAGTGTTCACAGCTTCAGTTTGCTTGGCTCCACAGTCAACACTCTTGGTACCAGCAGTCAGGAAATCAAAAAGTGTATCGCGATGGGAAAGTCTGCTGTTAGGGACCTCTCAAAGGTACTCAGGAGCAACAGTGTCTCTATAGAGACTAAGGTGCGCCTGATACAGGCCATGGTCTTTGCAATCGCTTATTATGCATCAGAGAGTTGGACAGTGACTAGGGAGGACAGAAGGAGAGTGGATGCTTTTGAGCTGTGGTGCTGGAGAAGGGTACTGAATGTACCATGGACTGCCAGGAAAACAAACAGATTCATCTTGGAGAGGATTAAACCAAGCTACTCCTTGGAGGCAAGGATTCTGGGGCTTCGTCTGACATACTTTGGACATGTTGCCAGGAGGGACGGGTCCTTGGAGAGGGACATCATGCTTGGGAGGGTGGAGGGACAGTGCAGGAGAGGAAGACCCTCTATGAGATGGATTGATTCAGTGACTGGGGTAATCGGGATGGGTGTGTCAGAGGCGGTGCGGTTGGCGCAGGATAGAACAGGGTTTAGGGCTGTTGTGCATAGGGTCGCTATGAGTCGGAAACGACTCGACGGCACATAACAACAACAACAACAAACATGAAGTCAGAGAAATCTGTATTTGTGAACTGTTCCCTGTTGTTCTTTGCAGTTGTGGGACCTAAGACAGACACGCAACAGAATATGTGACTACATAGGACATTTCCAGACAGTTGCATCCTGTGTCTTTCTACCAAGAGCGCTGGCCTTGACACCGGTAATTGCTACCTCATCACATGACTGCAAGGTTAAGATTTGGAATCAAGATACTGGAGGTAAGGAATCTGCAATTAATGCTTCTGAGAAAGATAGAGGAAATCCCCAAGGGATCTTTATATTTTTCATTCAATTACTTAGCATATACCCATCTCTTACCACTATCCAGTAGCCTAGTGGTTAAGAGATGTCACTAAGATGTCACAATCTCGCTGTTCAACCCTTGCCTGGAAGCCATTACCATATGTCCCCTGGTATGTTGTATAGCCTCATTCCTAAAAGTTCAAACATTCTTCCAACCTGAAATTCCTCATCCACCTTTAACTCGTGATGTTCAAAGTGCCTAGGATTGCCACTTTGAAATTCATTTTACAAAGACTGAAATGTGTCATTTCTTAGTGGATGAGTTGGAGGAAGGATAAGTCTCAGAATGACCCTCTCTTATTTTGACTATGAAATTAAGGTCTAAGATCACAGTAGGGTCATCCTCCTTCTCTTATGGAACACAGGTCCCTGGAGTCTTCTACAGTGCTATGGCAAAACTCCTATACGCCAACTGTCAAGTATACAGAAGTTTTGTAATCTACTGTTTAAAGTCTTGATCCTCAGTAAAAACATGTCAGTTCATGTCTAAGTGAAACTCTACAAATAGCTGTAGCACAAGCAGACTTTCATAGCAAGGCCATACCTAGTGTACCTTCCCATAGTGTGGCCCCAGTGTAACTGATGTGGGAGGTGAAATGAGCAGATATTTAAGATTTAGTGAACAGAGACTATACCTGACCTGACCAGGTAGCGTAAATGAAAGCCCACCTGGTGACCTGTGATTCTTCAGAGACTAGGCCCTGATATTCAGAAGGAGGGAAGCTGAATCAGCAGAAAGCCCTTAGAGGTGGCTTTCGATGTTTCTTTATTGTCCTTTGTCTTGAAGGGAGCTGAGGATCAATATCTTTTCCTGGTTTTCTCTGCTACTGCTCTTTTACTATCTGGGCAGCCAAACGAGGACAACCTTCTAAATGTCCTTAGCAGGTGAGGCTCCAGTTGTCTGAATATCCCTGTAAGTTTTGATGTCTTGCTTGGTGCATGTTAAAGCTTGGGGAGTTGACTCAAGTTCTGCTGGAATGCTTTCTCTAAATAGTGCAGCACTCCTCTTATGTGGGGTAGCTGTGTACAGCATATGTTTTGCTTCCTTGGATTTCTCAGGAAGACATTACACTCCATGCTATTACAGTCTTGATCTAACCTGCTGGTTTCTCTTTTCTTTCTAGCCTGCCTTTTCACCTTGTCTCTGGATGGATCAGGACCTTTAAATTCCCTAGCTGTTGGTGACACCGTCTCCTTATTGTGTGCAAGTTTCAGCAGAGGAATTCATTTACTCAGAGTGGACCACAGCCAAGGGCCGAAACTGTGGCAAGTGGCAGCATTTTGATGCCAAGAGACATTTTCTGGGCAATATCAGAGCACCACTCTTCTTTCTCAGTGTGGCTTTGCATTTCTCTACATTATCCCAGGGGAGGGAAGGGAGCACTGGTAGTTTCTGCTTAGATTGACTTAGAAGGGATATGAATGGTGGAAGTCTGTTTAAGTCTCATGGTTAAAAAAATCAAGTACAAAACTTAGAAATAATGGTCTTAAAATAAGGGTCTCAGTCAAAATTAAATTCAAATACAATTTTTAAATGAGTTTTTTAGATTACCCTTCTTAAAAAATGTTTCTTTTTCAAAATTGCAACCTGCAAGACTAATAGGCCAATCAGTTTGAGAATCACAATACAGAGCCTGATTCTATGAGCTGACATTTTCTATACCTGCATTAAAGGTGGGGGAAGCGGTAAGTAGAAGTGATGCGCAGAGAAATTCTGGTCTTGTTGGTTCTAAATTATTGAGATAGGAAAGAGCATTGCTGCTACATCGAGAAAATGACATGAGATTCAACTCTAGTTTAATCTAGACTGCTCCTCAGCAGTGTGACTAATCACAGTTAGAAAGCTACATAAAGCTTTGGGTTCTACTCAAAGGAGAAGCTGAGTGAAGGGGTAGTAGGTAGTCATTTCCTTCTGTTTTGGGTACTCTGCTAGATCAGAGCTGAGACCGCATGACTGTGAGGCCTGAGATGGTTTGAAGAAGCTGACATTTCTCCAGAACTGAAGTATTACCAAATCTGTTCTGTGGGTAACAAAACTGAGCCATTCAGACATGAATTAAGGCTAAAAACATGGTTTTTTTGTACATTTAATATCTTCATTTCATTTTCTTGAAGCTCCTTCTTTGAAATAAATGTGTTGTTGCTAGATGCTGATGGCCCTATGGACAACAGATTGAAACGTTGCCCTGTCCTGCGCTGTTCTCATATTCTCCACCATGCCCGAGACCCTGGTTACCTAATGGTCACTGTGTCGGTCCAGCTTGTTAACCTCGGGAGCTAGGAAGGTAAAAAGAAAAGTAAAACGGAACTGTTTACATGATCCAGAGAAATAAGGAAGTAAAGAGAAAAGTCCATGAACAAGTTTGCATGAGCTCTAAGGATTAGAAAGGAGGACAGTTCAAGAGAACCTGCTTACCCTCACCCACACTTTCTAGCATTCTAGCTCACATACTCTGACACACACCTACCCATGCATTTGTTAAAATACAAACTCACTTAGGAAAAACCCCAAGAGCCAACAGTAATGGGGTATTGTAACATCTAAGGGGTATTAACATCTAAAGAACACGTAGAACTAAGGTATTTTTTTCAGAAGATAAACATGACCAGATGAAACTGTGTCACATGCGTGCACAAGGAGTTACATGACTGAGCAGTGACCTAAGAGGACAATTAAAAGAAGGAAGTGGGGCTTGAACTTGAGGCCAGAGTGACCTATGTATTCACAAACATCCCTAGTGAGTCTTGACGTCACCTCTCGCACTCCCTTGCACATTAGCCCATCTTGAAGTTAGTGCTTGTGCAAAGGAGGAAGGAGAGATGCAGCCATCTGGCAAAGGCTGTGCAAACATCACGCTTTCCTTTCCTTACCCCTGAAAACCATCCCGGCCTATGAGGAAAAGCTCTGAACATTAGTTGCTCATGCCTGAGTTCCTCCCAGGCCCTGCGTGTTCTCCTTTTGAAGAATTTTCTTTTTCTCTAGTGAATCTATGTAATCTTTTCTTTGCAAAGTGGTCTGACTTTCCCGCCATTATTTAGACCCACCATCTGGCAATAGTATTGAAGATCTCTTTCACTGACCATCTATTTTCCCAAATATGGTATCTTTTTTCCAAGGGCTGGTGCCTTCTGGTAACATGCCCAAAGGATGTGAAATAACAATAGAAGGTTCAGTTGGTGGATAATGCCATTGTATTTAATCATTGAGTCCTCTTCAGTGAGGATTGTCAAGCTCCCTCAGGTCTTACCTGTGGGACCCCTCGCGAGTTCTCAGCCTCTTGTTCATGGTCCATTTCTGCCCAGGCAATGATGTTGAGTCCCTTTTTCCTTCAGATAAGTCCACATATAGGGTAACTAGGGTCAGGAGATTCTCTTTCTGACAATCCCAGGTAAAGAAATTCTGCAGTTGTCTTCCCATGCCTGTGCTGGACACCGGGGCTGATGGCCCTCTTCCTTGTCTCTCTTGCTTTTCTCCTTAGGCCTTTTCTCCACCGTGCCCTTGACTGCTCCAGATGGAAATCTGTTCTTATGTGAGGGCCAGAATCAGACTGAAGTTTGAATCTCCACTTCTCCATTTAGTTGTATGGCCTTGTTATTTTTGGTTGCATTCTAGTTGAGCACGATGCATAGCGACCCTATGAACAAAAGGTCTGAAGCCCCTCTACAACTATCAACATTTATCAAAATTCATAGAGTTTCTAGAGGCATGTTATTTAGGAAGTGGATGCCACTCCTGCTTCCAAACCTATAATAGAATGTTATTGTTTTTATGTGCCATTGAATCACCTGCGATGTATAGGGACCCTATCTATGTACAGTAGTTCTGAACGCTTCCCTGTTCTGAGCCAGTCTCACTGACTCTGACACACCAACCCCTAGAGCCCCAGTTACTGTTATCAATCCATCTCATCTGGGGTCTCCCTCTCCTGCACTGTCCATTCACCCTTATGAGCATAATGTCCTTCTCTAAGGACCCATCTCTCGTGGCCATGTGCCCAAAGTAAGTGAGGTGAAGCTTCAAACTCCTAGCCTCCAAGGAGAGACTTGGTTTCACCCTCTCCAATATAGATTTATTTGTTTTCTTGGCAGTCCATGGTATATTCAGGACTCTTCTCCAGCACCAAAACTCGAAGGCGTTTATTCTTCTTCTGTTATACTTGAGCAAGAGATAAAATCTGTTTCCACACTTATAAGATGAAGAATATAACGAAGTTGCACAAAGGCTAATTCTGAGAACTGGACATTGCTGGTAGGTGCTGTCGGGTTGAGTACAACTTACAGCAACGCTATGAACAACAGACCTGAACTTTGTCTTATCTTGTGCCATCTTCATCATCTCTTACACACTTGAGGCAGTTGTTATATTCACTGTGTCAATCCATTTCATTGAGGGTTTCTTATAAGATGAGGGTCTCTTCTCTTACATTGACTCCAAACATGATGTACCTTTCCAAGAACAGCCTCTCCTCACAACATGCCCAAAGTGTGAGAGAGAGTTTTGTCATCTTTGCCTCCAAGGAGCATGTTGGCTGTACTTTCTTTAAGTATCATATCTGTTCTTTTGGCAGTCCATAAGATGCTCAGTACTCATCTCCAGCACCACAACACAAAGGTATAATATCTGTCATCATTATTCATTGTCCAGCTCTCAGATGCATAGCAGGTGATTAAAAAGACTATGGCCTGAATTGGGTGAACCTTAATCTTCAAGCTGACATCATTGCTCTTAAGTACTTTGGAGAGGTCCCTGACAGTGGATTTTCTTAATGCAATGTCGTTGTTACGTGTCATCGAGTCGCTTGCAACTCATAGCGACTCTATGTACAAGAGCCCTAAATGCTGCTCTGTCCTGTGCCAACCTCATTGTCTCCTACACACTCATTCCCACCACCCCAATCACAGAATCGATCCATCTCATTGAGGGTCTTCCTCTCCTGCACTGTCCCTCCACCCTTCCAAGCATGATGCCCTTCTCCAAAGGCTGGTCCTTCCTGGCAACATGTCCAAAGTATGTGAGACAGAACTTCAAAGTCCTTGCCTCCAAGGGGAGCAGTTCTGTTTTACCCTCTCCAGGACAGACCTGTTTATTCTCTTAGCAGTCAATATGTTCAATAATTTTCTCCAGCACCACGACTTGAAGCACCTATTCTCCTTCTGTAATTCTTAGTCATTGTCCAACTCTCTGAAGTATAACAAGTAATTGAGAAGACCATGGCCTGGATTAGGTGCCCCTTTGTATCTAGACTAACATCATTGCTCTTCAGAACTCTGGAGAGGTCCAAGACAGCAGATTTTCCCAATGCAATTCCTCTTTTGATTTTTTTTTAATTTTAAATTTTATCTATCTATCTATCTATCATCTATTTATTTATTTATTTAATGTGTGTACCATCAAATTGTATCTGACTGGTACAGGGGGTAATTGTTCCTCCTTCTTCAGCAGAGCATCTGGTGGATTTGAACCGCACACGTCTGGGATTGCAGTGCAGTTTCCTGCCACTAGGCCACCAGAGCTCGCCTGATTTTCTGACTGCTGGTGTTAAAGAGTGTTGATTGTGGCTCCAAGCAGGCTGTAATTGCTAACAACCTCAATCTCTTCTCCATCTATCTTGGTGCTGTCTTAACAACTCCTTAACTTCTTGATTTCTTCCCTATACTTTGGCTTCTCAGTGCTCTAGTGCAATATTCAGAGTCTCTCTGACATCCATTTTGATCTTCTTCCTTCTTAATAATGACTTTTTGCATTCTTCGTGAACAATATTTTTAATATCTTCCCACAGCTTATCTGGACTTTGTTCATCAGTGTTCAAGGCCTCAAACCTATTCCTGAGTTGGCTTTTAAATTCATGGGAGAGAGACTCAAAGTCATATTTTGATTCCTGTGGATATGATTTAACCTTCTTTAGTTTTAATTTGAACTTGCGTATGAGCAGTTGATGGTCTGTTCCACAATCAGCACCTGGCCTAGTTGTTACTGCTGATATTGAACTTCTCCAATGGTTCCTTCCACAGATGTAATCAGACTGATTCCTGTGCATCCTATCAGGTGAAATCCATGTGTATGACCTGCATTTATGTTTCTTATAGAAGATATTTTTTATTAATAAATCATTTATTGTACAGAATTCTATCATTCTATCCCCAGCCTCATTTCTGTCACAAGTCCATATTTTCCGACAACTGATCCTTCTTCCTGATTCCCAACTTTTGCGTTCTAGACACCTATTATTATTAAAGCATCTTGGTTATCTCTTTGGTCGATTTCTGACTGCAACAGTTGATAGA